GTGGAGGGGAGGGGCTCGGTGCCATTATGTTGGGGAAGGGGAGCTATGCCTTGAGAGCAGAGCTCCAACTCTCTCTTTTGTCATGCTGGGCAACTTGCTTAATCCCTGAGCCTCTCTTACCTCCCTGTACTTGGTGAGCTTGGCAGATCAAGAGGAGGGTTCAGGTTGTAGTGTTGGTGCATCTTTGTGTGCTGACTTAGGAGGGGGAACTAGAAGCTGGGAAAGAAATAATGAAAGTGTCTGACTGCAGCAGGTAAAAATGCAGATAAGGCATTCTCCAGTCTTTTCTCTGATGCTGTTGTTTTCCTTGAAGATATCAGTCTTCACACAGAAGACTTATCAGGTGAGCCCAGACAAGGTCGGAGTGAACTCAGGAAATGGAGATGTCAGAAGACACCTGTTAGAGCTGCATGCACAGCTTCCATTCTGTAGGGTGAAGGCAGGCTGAACACTTCACATTCTCACTGGCTCATCTCTAGCGTAACAATTGCCATAGCAATGGAAGTAGCTTTACTGTTGAAGTTTTAACTTCTTTGCAGTATTACAGAGGCATTAAAGAACTACTTGTTTCCTGTCAGGAGGCTTATGAGTATGCCAGTCCAGCCTTGAAAGGAGGAGTGATCACTGAGAGGACACCCGTGTGCTCATCTGCTTTGGAAAATGGATAAGACTTGATTCTCAAAGTATTTCTTCCTAGAGCCACAATGTTGTTAATTTATACCCCAGTTACTTCAGGTCACTTGATGTCCTGACGCAGAAGCAATGGCTGCCTGCTACTGAAGAAATAGCAGAGTGGAGGTAGGGGGGGATCCAAACCCAACAAAAAAACCTGATGGCTGACTGTCCCCTGAATCATTTATAGCTGTGGTGTTTCCAAACAGCTTCCTAAAGCTAGATGAGAACTGCTACATCTGGTAACCTGTAAAGATCTGAAAGCTCTCTAAGACCCTGTGGTATTCAGAGTGAGCAGAACAACTGGTTTGTAATGGTTTGCTTGTTCACAGAGTAAAGTACCTGCTTAACGTCAAAGTTTCCCATTCTCAGGCCACAGCAGAATGGAATCCTGTATCTCATCTCTTGCTGAGTAGTCAGCCCTTGGGGAATCTCTCTCTGATCCACCTCTTTCACCTGCCTTTTAGACAGCTTCATTTCTGCCTTAGACAAGACTCAAGTTAATTAGCTTCTTGCATGCATGATACTCTTTAAATGTCTGCATTAGTGCTGACATCATGTACTGTAAACAGCCTTAGAAACTGAAGCTCATAACATATCTATGAAGTGAGTTCAGCTCAGTCTGTTGGGGATTAATTTCACTTGCTGGCCTTCAATCCTGTTCTGTAGGAGTTAAGAAATAGTTTAGGTCTTGGGTTCCCTGCGGAGATGGATCCAGAGATGTGAACCTTGTCCATGAGGTTTTCTAGATCTCATATCTCTGCCGATGTCCCAATCCCCTTTGTGACTTAGGTTTAAGTGACTTTGTAAATTGTCTTTCTGATTTTTCTGCCTCATGTGCTCTGCAAATCTAATGGCAGAAGTCAGTCAGGCTTTTCTAGTTAGGCTCTGCCCACACCTCCAGGTAGTTATGGGAGTGTTCCCTTTTATAGTAAACTTAAATGCAGGCTGACAGAATTTCTTTCCTGAAGATGAGCAACTCTTCCTGCAGCTTATCTCCCTCAGACTCTTCTGAGCAGCGTTCAATTACAGTTAGAGAAGCAGAGCTGCCGTTTTGTCCTGTCTCCGCAGTCTGCGTTCCCAGAAGAAAGACTATGAAGAGGGTCATGCTAGTGATGAAGTTGCTGTCATCCTCTGTTTTGGTGATTTCTGCTCACCCCCTTTCCTTTGTTCCCCAGAGATCTCCCCAGCAGAAAGATGCAGCAGCTTCCTATGGCTTGATTTGGGCCTATAGGCAGAATCATGGGGGGAATTTGGATGTCCTAGGCTGACCACCCCTGCCCCCTGTTTTGCTGAAGTTGCATCATGTAGGGTTGGAAACACCAGCTGGATGTTTTGGGGGTTGCGTCAGGAAGCTCATCAGTAGCACTGAAGGAGCTTGAAGATCTGAGGTCGTCCCATTGGTTCTGAACATGACAAGTCACTCTTGGGCTCTTGACCTGTTTCTTAGGTATAACTGTAAGCCATTGCAGATGCTTTTATGTCTCCACTGAGTGCTGTGGTAAGAATTCCTCTTGGAGAACAACCAAGTCTGTCTTAGGATTTTATCCCTCTTCAAAACACTAAGATATTAGGCTGACCATAGCTGAGACTGATTCTCTACTAGCATGATTAGAATTTGACTTTATAAATGTATGTATGTATACCTATCTACTTTGGGCTGGGTGGGTGTGGTTTTATTTAAAATAATGCTTAGTAAAATGTTTTTAAGTGATTTATTGAACAGGAGTTGTGTTCCTTCCAATGAATGGTGTTGCTTAAGGTTAGCATTTCGTGACAGGACTTCTATTGGCAATGCTTGTGGTTAGCTTTTTCTCTCTCTCCTTGTTTTTGTTTAAAGTTCTAGCCCGGTTATTGAAGCTTTGGTCAAACATCAGAGTATTGCCATTGCTCTAAACACATGAGAGAATCTCACAGCTTAGTTGAAGGCAGTAAATATAGCTTTTCCTCCATTTCTGCTGTTTCTAGTTCAAGAAGTGATGGGTGTTGCTGTTAGCGGATTTTTGTGGGTTTTTTGGCTTACAATAGAGGAAACTAGATGTTATTGTCTTGACCAATTCAGAGGGAATCCTCCAAAAAGCAGCTTTTCAAGAGAACTGTTCATTTCTTTCCTGCCATCAATGCGAAGACATACTTGCTTCTTGGAACCTCTGAAACTTTTACTGCAACAAATTTCTCTCCCTTTCTTCTCAATTTTTGGACCCTCTTGAAGGACACTGAGGATTGGTGATTTAAAGCTTTTAAAGGTTTTGCATTCCTACTTTATGAGAACGTAGAAGATGAACAAAATCTGCTGTTTCCTGCGTATAACCCCTTGCTGCTTTCTTCCTGTGTGTGGAAATTGTTTGTTCCTTTGGCAGCAAGGTACCCCTATTAGATGGACTTTGTAAGTATTGTCAGTGTTACCTGTGAGTAAAAGCAGTTGCTGTCTGTGTCTAGTATTACATGCCAGCTGTCTGAACGAGCATGTGGATGTGGCTCATAAGACAACTTGAAATTTCCGGAGTATTTTTTCTTTACTAAAAAAAAGTGCTCATATTCTGAACTGTGAACCAGGCACCTTCTAGAAATAGAAGTGAAGGCTGGGTTTTGCTCTGGAACTAGAAGTAAGCTAATTTCTGGTAACAAAGACTGGTTGCTGTTACATTATGTATATTTATGGGGTATTAGCTTTCTTGGACTTGTGCCAGCCTAAGTGCTGATCAGTAGTCTAGAGCAGGATGCAGCCCATCTTGACTCCTGGGCACGTATAACCTAAATAAAGTAGAATGGTATCACTCTGGTGTCATGGAAGTCTTTACATCCAGAAGGAGAATTATTTCAAGCCTGAGTCTGGAAAGTTGGCACTTTCAGAGCCTTTTTTTTCCTAAAGGAAGACAGTTTAAATGCCTTAGGCATTTTCTTCAAATCAACATGCAGGAAAGGAATTGATGTGCATAAGGCCATAGTAGTTAGTGGTGCATGTTAACTTGCAGGATCAAATGCTAAAGTTCACTGATCCTGTGATTCAGATTTTTTTCCAGTGTGTCACCAGGTCATCAACTCTGCCTGATCTAAGTTGTGTCTGGTTTGTGTGCATTTGTCAGGAGGAGGAGGATGAGGCCAGGGGCCCTTTCCAGGCCTACCACAGTTCAGTAATGGAAAGAGCCGTGAATCCTGCTGCAAAATGGTGATGAGAAAAAAATTAGGAAAAAAAGGCCCATGCTTTCCAAGACTGACCAGATTTTTGCTTTCAATGGGAGGAAAGGAAGTTAGCTGTAGGAGCAGGCAGGCTCTGTGAACAACTGGCTGGAGTAGGAGAAATGAACATGCTGCTTCCATTTTATATTTACTAATTTCTGAAACAAAGAGTCTGCTGGAAGGCTTCCTTGTAGTTGAAGTGTTTTCTGCGTGTGTTACATCCAGCATCACTGTAACTGTGCATTCAACACTGGCTCAATCTTGGGAGGATCTAGTGAGATTTAGGCCTTCTCAAGGGTAGAGAGGTCTCTGCAAGTATTCCTGCATAGAGCCTTTCCTTAAGTTGTGTACAGGGTTTTTGGTGATGGCCCCATAAAGCCCTTTCACCCTTCGTGTCTCTAGAAGTATATATCCTGTGGACTGGAGTATTTTCTATTACTTTGTGTAGCTGTCAAGCTTATGGAATTGCAGACAGTCCACCAGAGACGTGTTCTGCATGCTTTACTGGATCTGAGCTGTGGAGGCCAGGGCAGAGGGAAGATTAGGTAATGTGGGAAGAACAGGGTCAGGAGAGCCTCCAATGGTCTTAGCAATACCTCTGCTGCGTATTTTTTAAAAAATCTTATTTATACGCATTATCTTCACTTTGTTTTGCAGCTTCTGAGAAAGATGGAGAGGGACTGTTTACAAGGGCAGGTAGTGATAGGACAAGGAGTAATGGCTTCAAACTGAAAGACAGTAGATTTAGATTAGATATAAGGAAGAAATTCTTCACTGTGAGGGTGGTGAGGTACTGGAAGAGGGTGCCCAGAGAAGCTGGGGATGCCCCATCCCTGGAAGTGTTCAAGGCCAGGTTGGATGGGGCTTTGGGCAACCTGGTCTAGTGGAGGGTGTCCCTGCCCATGGCAGGGGGGTTGGAACTAGATGATCTTGAAGGTCCCTTCCAACCCAAACCATTCTGTGATTTATTTTTTTCCCTATGAAGGCAGGGTGTGTGTTGTGTCCCTATGAGAGACTGTTTCCTGATAATATTTTTTTTTTAACTTGCATGATCTGCAGCTTTGAAGAGAATTCCAGTCTTGTAACCCACAGTACTCGGTTTCCCAAGAAAAGTCCAGTCTACTGTGCCATCACCTTCACCAAAGAACATGGAGAAGTTGATATTGGAAAGGCCTGTTTCTGTGTCTAAGGTACTCATTGGTCTTTGGGGAATACTGTTTGCCTGCCTTTCTGTCATCAGAATTCGGGAAAGCCCCATGTTTTCAGAGGGATTTCTAATGTTTTCTTCTGGAATGCTGTAGAGGTAGGTGCTATTGAAATCGGTGTCCCTTCTAGAAGAGTTCTCCTTCATGACCACAAGGAGCAATGCAGAGTCTTTTGATGACATTTTCTAATTAGTAACCAAATAGTCTTAATCTGTTCCTCTCTACTTGGAATGGGGAGGTTTTATTTCAGAGAGTCTTTTTTTTTTTTTTTTGTATGGGAGAGGTGTCTCCCATGAGATCAGTCCCGTTTTGTTGATATTTATGGAGGCTAGTCACAGTAAGCATGTGCTTCAGTGTGTTTAAGTTATCTTCATGTGGGGTACTGTATTGAGCTTTTGCACTCAACGTTGCAGTGCAAGATTCTCATTTTGGTAATAAGGATTTGGCAAATCAAAATTATGCTGAAATGCTTTCCCAACTTCACAGTACTATGGAAACATCAACTGACCATTAAAATACCCATTTGTTGTGACCTTTTTCATATAAGGGAAAACCAAAACCGGGACACTTGAGGATGGGATTTGTCTAACTGAGACATACTATGCTCTCTCCCCTAATCCCTGGGTCTTAGGTACAGTGACAGGATCTCTTATTGTCAGTGGCAGAACCTGTTCTTGAGTGTTAAAAGCAATTTTGCCATTGCCCCTTTTGGCTTATAGTCAATACTACTCTCTTGAACCAAGGTAGTTTCTGTTCAGGCTTCCCTTGGAAAAGCTGCATGCTGAAACACTAGACTGGAAATAGATATGTTGGTGAAGGGACAGAGACAGGAATAAGGACTTATTAGTAACATGAATTTTAGCTATTGTGGGGCAGGCAGTGATGTGAATGGGTGGTTTCCCCTGGTACAGAACTTGAATAACTTTTATAGTCTCAAAAGATGCTCTGACCTTCTTACAGCAGGGCATACGAATCACTCTCTCTCATTTGTGGTTTTGTGTTTTGTTTGGTTTTTTTTCCCCCCTCCTCTTTTTTCGTTTCTTCCCCCCACCCAAGGATGAAATGCCTACAGTTTCTTCCCAGGAGAAGCCAGATACCAACTCGTGCCCTCATGCACCTGGCAAATATTTTCTCCCTGGTGGGATGGACAATGAGAACTGCAAAGCTAATGAGAAGGAAATGGACTGGATCCGCCCTGATATACCTAGCAAATGCACGTGGAAGCTTGGGAAACCCATCTCTGCCTCCCCCCATCGTCATACCACTCTGTAAGTATTACTCTTATTTGCTGATTTTCAGTACAGTGCTAATCCAGGTCCCTTCAGAGCCATGTGGATTTAACAAAAGATAACTGATTTAAATTGATGCAGTTTAGCATCTAGATATGCTGGTGCTTCATAATTTCCATGTATAAGCAAAGCTAAGAACCCAGATGAAGCATACAACGGGCCTTGCACCAGAGATGTGAAACTACATGGACTGGAACTAACTTTAAGTAACATGGCAAACAGTTCCCTGAATAGATGAAAGATTGCACTATTAATGCATTTTACTTGTAAAATAGCTGAGTGAGCAGTGCTAAGCTACTTCATGCCAGGAAGAAGTGCAGAGCACTTCATTCTCACCTCAGCATTTGGCTTGATGTCTGATTAATCCTTGTTTTGGACTTGATGTTGTGTGTATCCAATGTACATTCTTTTAAACTAAAATATCTAAAATTACTAGCCTGATAAAGGGGAGGGAGAAAGCTGGTTGAAATAAAAAGCATTGGAAATGCTGTGTTGCTTCTGTGTGACCTGCCTGTGGTCCCCTTCTGTGAACGCACAGACTTTGTTTCTATGTGTACCAGGCCAGAGCCTCTGAAAATCCTGCCAAGTATCCTGAATAAAGTTGGCAATACACCCTTGGTGCGAATCAACAAGATTGGGAAGCAGTATGGGCTCAAGTGTGAACTCTGTGAGTACTGCTGCAGGCAGAAAATCAAAATAAGAAACACTGTTTCAGAAACTTGGGTAGTCCTGTTTAATAGAGTAACCTGGGCACAGGAGGGGTGCAGGTACCCTGCAGAAAATGGTGAGAAAAACATCCTTTTCCTTTTAGGATTTGGTCATCTCAAACATCTTTCAATTTGTACTTAATGAGGAAATTTCCTGCAGCTTTTCCATTTTTTTGGTAGAAAAAGTAAAAACTTTTTTTCAGAGAAAATAGTTTTTTAATTTTAAAAAAGTTGTATCAAGTTTTTGACTGCTGCTTGTATTCATCAGTGTGTGTAAAATACAGGTCTGCAGTTACCACTAGAGATCATTGAAAATGATCAAAGGGATGAAATTGTCAGTGAATGTTTTTTTGGGGGTTAGGGTTTGTTTTGGGGTTTTTTTTGTTTGTTGGTTGTTTTTTTTTAAACCAAACCATACTGGAGATGTCTGGAGGCTCTGATTAGAGTCCTGAAAGGTGGTGTTTAACATTATTGAGGGGATTAATGCTGGGAGTGCTGAAGTGAAAGTATAGGCTGAACAATGGGAGAAACTTCCAGTTTGATCAGAAACTCTTTGGCTGGAGAATGTAGCAGGGAAGAGGCTAGGCATGTTGGTAGAATTCTCTTTTCCCATGCTATTGCACTGGAAGAGCCCTGTGGGTTTTTATCCTCATGACTGGGCTGTAATAAAGAGGAAAGATGAAAGGAGAGGTTGTATTTTGAGGAGACTGACAGAGCATGGGTTCCTGGCTTCTGTGGCCAGCATCAAGTACTAAACTTGCTGTGTTGTTGTGACCCATAACAGTGGAGATGCTGTGAACTGAATCCCCATCTCTGGTGTTGTAAAGTAGGGAGGTCAACTGGGCAGACATGTTAACAGAGTTGCTCTTGCAGATTTGTTGGGGAACAGCAGCCTGTTTAGCAAATGACTGCTGTTTAAGAACTCTGCTTGGTTTCTTTGTTTCCAGTGGCAAAATGTGAGTTCTTCAATGCTGGGGGCAGTGTGAAGGACCGCATCAGCCTGAGGATGGTAGAGGATGCTGAAAAAGCTGGGATCTTGAAGCCTGGGGACACTATCATAGAGCCAACCTCTGGAAACACAGGTAGGGAATGGAGACACCCTAGCAAAGGCGGGGTGGGAAATGCTGTGGTGGTTTTCCTGGAAGCGACAGGCTTGAGATTGGAGCATGGAGGCTGCCTGTGCAAAGGAAGGGGATCCCTTCCAACCTGCATGGTGTAGGGAGCAGTACCTCTTCCATTTCACACAAGGAACAATTCTGCAGTGTCCTATGCTGACCAGAACAGCTGGGAAGGAGGTTTGCTAAATTTGCAGGGGCCTTGTGCTTTAAAAGAAAATAAGTGTTAGGTCAGATTCACTAAGGTCTTCAGGTCCTGGTCAGGAATAAAGTCTGGCTGAAATTATTCAGGGGAAAAAAAGCACCAAAAGACTGGTGTGATCCTGGGTCCTCCTGTTCTGTTTGGGAAGTCCCATGGTCCCTCTATCAGGTGAGGTGGGCCTGGTTTGAGAAACATCCTTCCCCATGTTGGTGCAGTTGAGATGGGAGATGAGCTGCATCCCCACAGCACTGTCTGCTGACCTAGGCCTCGCACGCTTAGATTTTCAATGGATTCCACTTGGGCCAGTGTCTCTTCCTTGCAGGACTGGAGGAAGGAACAGTCTTGCTAGTCAGGGGCCAGGGCAGAGCATCTGCTGATCCCAGCAGACTGGAGGTAACTCTGGGCCCCTGTGTCAAAGCTGTTGTACTTCTGCTAAGATGCTCTACTGATGGGGGAGTAAACATACCTGGAATGCTCCCCCTTGAGCTAGTTAAATATAAAATATACTGCCTCCACTGAGGAGGTTCCTGAGCTGAGCTACAAGCTACTCTCCTGCCTGATGTGTTCTGGAGAGGTGTCTTGTCCTGTTCTAAAACTTTCCTGGGCATCCACTGTTGCCTTCGGATAGACACAGGCCAGGCAGATCTTTCTTTTGATCCAGTGCAGCTTTTGTTAATGGAGGGACTTGGGTGATGAGCTGATCTGTGACCAGTTCCCTGCCTTCAGCAGAAAACTGGGAAGTCAGATATGTTCCTGTTTGCTCAGCAGTTGCTCTGTGGGGGGCTGCAGTGCAACTGAAGCCTTTGTGACTGTGGCAATGCTTACTGCCTGAACAATGGCATGTAGTGGAAAATATCCATATATATTGCATTCCTCCAGTATCTGAGGTCATACTATAATATCCTGCTTTCTGGGTCAGTACCTGATAAATGGTTCTCCTTGCCACAGAATTCAAAAGATAGAAAGAAGGCAGAACTGAAGAAGATACAGGACAATTACTTCAGAAATTACTTCTCTCTTCATGTTAAAGCAAAGACCAGGGCAGACAGTAACCTGAGAGAACTGGCTTTTACTCTAGGCTACTGCTCAGAGCTACTGAGTACATTAAATGTAAGAGCTAACATGTTTATATTTTTATCCTCTCTACATCCTACTTCCCCCTCAAACAATGTCCTGTTTTGATATTTGCTGCATTTCCAGATCAGTAGCAGAAAGTACGAAGTGTTAGAGTTCAGGTCTCAAAATGCTTTCTTTGTCACAGACCGTAAGGGAGAGGGCTGGATGGCTTCTCTTCAGTCTTTGGCCTTAGTGAGGCCTTTGCTGTCCTTTTTTTTTTTTTTTTTTTTGTTGGGGGGGGGGGGGCCAGGAGCATCCACATTTATCTATAATATACTAGGAGAAGTTGGGTTTTGTATTTTTTTCTGCCCTCCTAAATATTTAAACACTACTTGAATTACCTGAGGTGTGAGTTATGCTTCTCTTACAGGAACAGTTAAAGATTTTTTTTTTTTCCCCACCCGTATGCAATCCAGTACCATGTAGAAACAGACCCAGCTTTGAACAAGCAAGTCTCTGTGTAGGGTAAACTGCCTGTGAGGCATTGTCTTGGGCGTGTGTTGGTACTGTGCCTGGTACCCAGAACAGCAGGGGAGATGCGGTGCAGTCTGACCTCAGGCATGAATCAACTAACTTGATCTGTTTGGCTTATCCAGCGGAGAGGTGATCTGATAACAGGGGTAAGCTTCTCTTCTATGGGGAAGGCGCTTCTGACCTTAGCTCTTCAGGTAGGCAGGCAATGACAAGCTGGAAGGCAGACAGACATCAGGCTGGAGGCACAGATTTTAAAAGTAGAAACAAGGTGTCTGTCTCTAACAGTCAAGGTACTTTGCTGTGGTAGCAAGTTGACATAATGTATTAGAACCTCAATCACAAACAGCATCTAAATCATGTTTTTTCTAAACAGGACTGAGTTTTGGCACATTGCAAACTAGGGATTTAATGCAGAAGTGGGTCGACAGGGGCTCTAATGCTCTTCTGACCGTATCAAAATGATTGCTGTAGTCTTCTTTAGCTTAAAGCTCATTCCTTTCCCAAATTACTTTTGTAAAAATGAAGTGGATGAGACAGGAGGAAGGTGATGCGCATATGGTAAAGCTAGCAGTTTGCACATGTCAAGTTTCCCCACCCGTGGCTAAACTTTCTGTTGGCTGTGATCCTCAAAGAACTAGCAGCATCTGTAAATCCAGTTCTCCCCATAGCCAGAAACGTTCCCTTTGATATCCTTCTAGAGACACTGTACTCAAGCCTCTGGTGAAGATCTGATTATAGCCAGGGCATGCCAAAGCTAGCATTGTGGGTTTTGTTCTTTGTTGCTCCTCACTGTATTGTCTACGTGTCTTTGCTTGCTTCCAGGAATTGGGCTGGCCTTGGCTGCAGCAGTGAAGGGTTACCGCTGTATCATTGTGATGCCAGAGAAAATGAGCATGGAGAAGGTCAGATCTGCTTTTATTTTCAAGAATTTAAAAATAAGCATGTTTGCACTTGCAGAGTTCCTGGTGCAGATGAGAGCTGTGGCTTTAGCAATGAAGGTTTAGGCTCTTGTTCTCCAAGTCATTGGCCAGGCAGAACTCTGCTGAGGAGCTGTTGCCGGCGCCCAGAGAAATCCAGGCTGGTTAGCCGTGGACAGAAAATGCCTTTAAGATCCATCCCCACAGCATTGTCACTTGGAAAACTGTCATAACTGTTTTAAATACAAATGTTGAGATTCACCTAGCACATTTCACTTCAGTGACTACCTGTCCCTGGGTTAGCTGTCCCTCACTGACCAAAGGAGGATGAAGGAAGGCAATACTGAATCTTTGAATGTTCTTCTGTTCTGCACTGGGCTGAACAAGGCTGTGAGGGAGCCTCTTGAGCTCCTCAAGTTACACTGAGGGGTACTGGCAAGCATCTGAGTTGTTTCACCACAGCAACAAAGGGGAAGGAAAAACCGCCTGGGTAATGTCCGCTTACCTTCACGGTAGAAAGCGCGAAACATCCACCTCTAGAGCAAGCCCTGTCCTGTGTTCCACTAGGGTGATGCTGCACCTGCAGCCAAAAGAAGGCAAGAGATCCCCTATGTCTCACAGTTGAGGCAGCAAATTGCTGTCAGCAAAACCACTTATCTCAGTACAAACACTTCCAGGGTTCCAGCTGAAAGGCAGCAGCACAAATGAGAACAACGTCCCCTGAAGACCTATACCCATGGCTTGCTCTTTGCTCTGGAGAGAGCGGTGCCGCACAGCCATTGCCATGTGCCACACAGCACCAAAGGCCTCCCCTCTGAAGACAGGCCTTGCCTTAGCTTAATGTTGTAAACTTTCTTGCCCTCATAGCAATTGCGTGGTGCATAGGGCCCTGGCGGATCTACTTCGCTGTTTGTGTCCAAAGGAGGAGGTAAATGTGTATAATTTGCTCTTAAACATAGCAGTGTTGGAGTGCAGAGCATGTGTGACTGGCACAAGAGGAGACGGTGTTTTGCCTGAGTGAGGCATCTCAATATGTAGTAACAGTCCCTCCAGGCCTGAAGGCCTAGAATAGAAACAGGAACTTGACATCTAGCTCCCAAGTAAAGCTTAGCTGAGACCAAGTTACATTAAGGATTTGGACCCATGGCTCAGTGATGCTGTGAGACTGGGGTGCAGGAGAACTGCTAAAGAGGCTATTGTAGACCAGGTAAAAGGAAAGATGTTTTCTTTACCCTGCACCTCAATGTAATCTCTGTGCTGGGAGAACAGTTTTGGCGTTTGTTACCACCTTTATTTGCTACAGGTGGATGTCCTGAGAGCTCTGGGTGCTGAGATTGTGAGGACCCCAACAACTGCCAGATTTGATTCTCCTGAATCTCATGTGGGAGTAGCATGGAGACTGAAAAATGAAATCCCCAATGCACATATACTAGACCAGGTAAGAGCCAAAGTATCAGAAGCAGAGGTGTAGTGTGGGAGGAGGTATTGCAGCTTTGTTCCTCAGTATCCTTGGTTGACTTCAACAGCCTAGGTGTGTCTGTGGAGGAAAAGATGTCCCAGGTCTGCAGCTGTAGTTGAACCACCACCATGCTGTAGGGTGGTGGCTTTTATAGTCACTAGAGGGCAGCAATGAGCCTATGTTTGCAGAAACTGCAAAACATGGGTGGCTTTCCACTGAATTGGCAGTGCTACGTAGAAGAATAGGGAGAAGGACACATTCTTAAAAGAAACTGTCCCACAGACAGGACACATCTTGGCATTGGAGGGTGCTGGCACCTTAGAACTACTCTTAAATTATGTCACTTAAGAAGATTGTACCTCCCCTTGGGCACTCTGCCTAGGTCCAGATAACAAGGAAACTGTCTAGAAAGAGCATATGTAGCTGTTGTGGGCTTGGGAAGTGTTTGTCATGTTCTTAAAATGCCTCAAAATATGAAATTTGTTGTCTTTCTAGTCTACTTAATGGCCCTTCTATCTTTCAATACAGTATCGTAATGCTAGCAACCCCCTGACACACTATGACACCACAGCTGAAGAAATCCTGCAGCAGTGCGAAGGTATGTTTGCTCTACTACTAACCCTCTCTTCAATGAGTCCCTAGCATTCTCTTATTGTTAGTGTTGTGGTTTAACCCCAGTGGCAGCTAAAACAACCACACTGCTGTTCGCTCACACCCCACCCAGCAGTGTGATGGGGGAGAAAAGAAAAAGGTAAAACTCATGGGTTGAGATAAAGGCAGTTTAGTAGCACAGAAGAGGAAGAGAATAATAATAATGATAAAAGAACATACAAAACAAGTGATGCACAGCACAATTGCTCACTAGCCAAAGCTGATGCTCAGCTAGTTCCTGAGCCAACTGCCTCCTAGCCCACGCCCCCAGTTATATACCGAGCATGATGTCATATGGTATGGAATATCCCTCTGGCCAGTTTAGGTCAGCTGCCCTGGCCGTGGTCCCCACCAGCTTCTTGGATGCCCCCCGCCTTCTTGTTGGCAGGCCAGTATGAGAAGCTGAAAAGTCCTTGACTGCTTGGCAACAACTAAAACATCAGTGTGTTATCAACATTGTTCTCCTCCTAAATCCAAAACACAGCACTATACCTGCTGCTAGGCGGAAAGTTTAACTCTGTCCTAGCTGAAACTAGGACAGTTAGGTACTTCAAGAATGGGACCTGAGGTGGTTGAGATTGGATGGATTTTGATACAGCGCATCCCATGCCTATGCTGTGTGTCACTAGAGAATGACTTTATTTCAGCAGTCATAGTAATGGATTTTTCCCCCCCATTAGAGAGGTGCTTTGGTTTTCAGATTCCTCTGCTTGTGACCAGGTGGAGAAAGCAGTGATGCTTAAGTTATCTTTTGGGGGGGGGGGGGAAGTGCAGGACCTGGCATTTAGGTATTTTTACATCCTCAGACCAAATACTCCATTACACTGGAAGCTTCTTCCCTTAAGAGTCATCAGGAATACAAACTGTTCTGTGTTGCAATTGTCACCACTAAGATTTGTTTACTCTGCAAGGGTTGCTTTCATGTTAGCTCTTGGCAGCCAGGTTGGAGTACCAGCAGTGATTGAGCTGTGGCAGCAGAGAGCTTTAGCTGGGCTAACTCACCCAGCAGAGGAGTTGGTTTGAGAGCTATTGGAGGCATTCAGTGTGATGCTGCAGCGTACCATGTAGGCATTTGCCGTAGGTGGTAGAAGGAAGTCTTACAGGAGGCTACTGACCTTCCTTATAAAACAGTACAGTTTCTGGTGGGACTCTCTAATAAGAAAATGGGCTGTTAAATTCCTTCTCATTGAGGCAAGGGCCACATGAAGGGTTGTCCTCCCTTGTCCCCCAATAAGTAACTCTAGCTGTTCAGAGGATATGGCTTGTCTTTCTGTGGCAAACTTTCTTTAAGTTTGAGTTAAAATGAGTATACTTTAACATACTCATATATACTTTAACATATACTTTAGCTTTAGACTTCTTGTTTGTATTTAATTTTCCTTATAACCCAGTCACTGTGCAGTTATTACTGAGCTTATACCCCTGCTTGGCAGGGTGTTATTCTTTTGACTGGTAAGCATTTGGGTTTGTGCGTGAATTGGTGTGTGTATTTCTTATTAACAAAGCTATCATGTGGATGTGCCATGGAAACTGTAGAGGGTGGCAGAAGAATGAACTATCATACTGTGCTGGGTTTGCATGGCAAGGTTTTG